GCTCGCAGTAACAGCAAGTTGATTACTATTCTTATTCTGAATTTTTGTTATAACTTCTTAATATAAAGCTCTATATGACCTATGTTTACATAACATTTTTTTCTTACTTTGTGCCATAGAATACACTAACAAAGTTTGAACGTTGTAATGTTGTAACCTGGGACACCCTGTATATTAATTGATTACTTCGTTTTTATTTATGGTCTACTGAACTACATGAAGATTCACCAATTGATTCGAGCGTTTCCTATTTTTCCTTTTTTTCTTCAATTTTTTGTATATCTCGTGCAGAGTGCAGACAAAAGTTAAAGAAAAAAATGGTCCATTAGCTATGTTCACTTCTAGGTGTACACATGTCTTTCTCATTACAATGTTGGCCGAATAGCAGCTGCTTATGATTACCTCAATGCATTGCACAGGTTATCATGGAACCGTCTCCATCCTGTACTATTCATCTGGTGCACTGACGCGTTATCTATGTCGCGTACACGCACATGAGTGTATGGAACATAGAATTTCAGCTTCAAGATACTTCGTAATAAAAACTCGACATTCAAGCACGTTGAACTATAACAATGTTGCTTTACAACGAACATTCAGCGTCAGGTTAAACTTTTTTCTGTGCGCTCATTTTCGCATTGAGCCTTCGCACTATAGGATGTTCCAAAAATGTGTCGCAATCCGGAAATTGGGGGTTTCTAAGGTCATACGAAGTAACTTTTTCCTTAGCGAAAATGCAATCCACGGCTACGTTTACGAGTTATTAACGAAAAACACTGAACAATAAGAAGAGGCGAGCTCGGCTGGCACGAGGCGGCCCAGCCAACGAGCGCACGAAGCTCAGTTCCGCTCATTGGCTCGGCCGTCTCGCGCCAGCTGATCTCGCCTCTGATTTGCCATCGTTTCTCGTTAATAACTCATAAACAATGCCGCAGATTGCATCTTCGCTAAGGAAAAAGTTACTTCGAATGATGTAAGGAACCTGATTATTTCCGGATTGTGAAACATTTTTGCGACACCCTGTATAACGAGTCAGATTCGCGATGAAGATTTTGCAGATAATTTACTAAATATGAATGTAATTCGTTTTATCTAAATCGAAACAAAATTTGACAAATTTTTATAAACGTTATAAGGATTTCAGAATATTTTTATATTATACATATACAACTCATTCAAATTATTACGTTTCGTACGATCAACTTCGATCATTTTTATCTTGCATCGGACAATTTTTGACAGTATGTTTTGCAATATCCGCAGTCTAATAATAAAAAAAAACAATTTAGAACCTGTCCCCTGGCCCCTGGAAGTCAGATGAATTTTGAAATTGAGAATGATCTTGGACTGTGTGGATCGATTTTAGGAACAGATTGATTCCGATATAGAATGATTTTGAACTTCGAACGTTGTGTTTAGTGTTATCTTTAATTTATTCACACACGACCGGGTCGACGAGTTCTATACAGATTAATATACGTAATAAAATTGTACAACTATTATCGATCGTAATTGCATCCGAGGCTATGATTATACGAAATTTGCATTTGTTGAAATACGTTAGATGGCTGAATAAGGCTCATCAAATATATTCGATGCAAATCGTTTTACAATCTCTTATGTAATGATGACGAACATTGTTTATATGATTTCCCTGGGAGTAACCATTGCACATGTAATTATCATATATAATATTACTTCAATCAATTATAAATTGCTATACTATTCCAGCCGTTATGGTGATTTTACTTAACCAACAACACATATTTATTTGAAATACATTGAACTAATGATACTTGGCAATAGAATAATAATAGACTAACTCGGCAATAGAATAAGCTTAGGGTAAATCACACCTATCCACATTTAAAGCAATATGGCGTCATATTTAAAAAAGACACTATATCAAAGTATACAGTTAAAATGTCCAAATCTTTTTGGACGCAAATTTTGTGAAATCAGAAAAAGGTACCAGCAACAATGACCTACAAAAGTGATTTACAGTGACCTACAAAAGTATCTGTACATAACCGTTAAATCTATTCAATTTAATTGGATTAGTTTTTTAATGATTACATGTATTAAACCTTACAAAAATTAAATTACAAAAATTTATTCAGATTTTATACAATTTTAATTATAACACGCAATCGAAAGCATTTCTATGATTTCAGTAACTGTGAATTTAAAAAATCTGCAATCGATTAATTGATCAATCATGAGAGTTTAGCGTTACAGTGTTCTTAACGTCTAGCGCTTAACTAGATGTAATAATATTACAGCAAATTGATTTTTGAAAAAATCAAAGAAAATGAACTGCATAAATTATGCTTTCGTATTCGGAATGGAAAACAGTTAAGGCACATCTATGTTCAATAAGCTTCTAATGATGCAACTTTGAAAGAAGGTGTAGCCTGGCAGAAATAATTTTTGCCTGAATGCTACAATGAAGAAAATAAGCACTCTTTAAGCGAAACGACTAATTAGCGCATGAAAAAAGCTTGTTTCGTATGTTTTCCAAATTAGACCGGATAATCGATGTTACACTACACTGACGATGTTTGGTTATCCACTCTTTCCACCTGTACTGCCTGGCTTATACAAATCCTTTTTTACGAACCTTCAAAGCTTGCTCGTTCGATAACAATGCCTCATTAGAATATCGACACAAAACACAACTTTTCAAACGTCTCTTTCATAAATATCCGCTATCCATGTATACATACATATGCATTACAATTCCCTGCCTTCCGATACCAGTGAACTTCTTCGTTCAAACCAGACGCAACATTCTTATCTCGGAATAGTTTTCATTTTAGTATTTTTCTTCCCGAAAATTCAGCCTTTCTGATCATCCATTTATTTTACTGGTTTGATGTACTGTCACATAAGTATTGGGTTGGCAACTAAGTAATTGCCGATTTCAGTTATAGATGTCTCTCACTCCCATTTTTATGATATCCGTAAATGTTATATTATAAAATTATTATTATTATTATTATGTTATTTTTTATTATCCGCGAATGTTAGCAACTGGACAAATTGAATGCAGCGGTCAAGGAAAAGCGACCAGAATTGGTCGATCGTAAAGGTGTCATTTTCCACCAGGACAGTGCTAGGCTGCACACGTCTTTGTCCACTCGGCAAAAATTGATGGATATTGGTTGGGAATTGATGTTACACCCACCATATAGCCCTGATCTCGCGCCATCGGATTACCACTTATTTCGATTCCTGGACAACTCCCTTCGTGGTAAAACTTTTAATGATGACGACGCTGTAAAATCTCACTTAACTCAGTTTTTGGCCGAAAAGGATCAGACTTTCTATGAGCGTGGAATTTTCAAGTTGTCAGAGAGATGGCAAAAGGTCATCGAACAAAATGGAAAATACATTACAGATTAAACTTCATTCCAAGTAAAAAAAATTTTTTATTTCATTGAACAAATCGGCAGTTACTTAGTTG